GTACCAAGGCTGGTATAGAATCACTAGATGCTTCAAATCTCCTTCTTATATCCTTAAAACTGTAATTTTGCTATATAAACAAATAGAATGGATTTTTCAACTGATTAAGCTTTTCATGACGATTCTAAAAACCAATGTGAAAAGGTAATCTAATTTATTACTCCCCCAATCCCATAAAGATAGTCATCTTTCTTTTTTCGTCTATTCCAAATTATAGTCTTATTTCTTATTTGAGAGTGTAATTAATATATTAGTTTTCTAATATACCCCTATTTAATATATTTTGTCATCACAAACATAAACCACTCCATTATTCAATTATAGTGAAACAATAAATTAAAAATCAAAGAAACATTTCATCTTTCATGACATTTACTCATTTGTATTGGTATTGGATGATTTTGGAATGTTAATTACCTTGAATATTGCATGCATAATTTAATTAAAGTAAATGTTAATTACATTAATGTAAGTGTATATTCTGAAAAATAATAGTAAAATTTATTATTTCAACTATATTGACTAAATTTTTTTAATATGCGTGAAAAAATAAATAAGACTATCTTTATGGGACGGATGGAGTATTTTCTTTTCTATGCTGTTAACAGCCATGATAATGAGATCCTTAGATATCAGGAATCAGAAAGCAAATTAATTGGAATTCATTAGCCCAAATTTGCAGCCCTAGTTGCATACTTGTACATCATTTTGTTACCATTTTAGGTTTTAATGATCGATATTCAAGTAAAAGAACAGTAAAATACAAGGCTAGTCTGAAGATATACAATATTTGCTCATGTAAATACATTTTTACCAACCATTTTTCCTGAACTAAAATGCTGCCTAGGATAACGGTTCCTTTCTTTAAATAAATATAATTTTTCCATAGATTCAGGAAAAATGTGCTTTTCCAAAGGAACAGAATTTAGATATCAAAGTAACAGACTGAAAACTTAATGTAATGAATGGAATTCCATACGTATGCATTCACAAAATGGTATCTTTGTCTATGAATATAAGCAAATGCTGAAAAATTGCAGGCACGTATTACGAAAGTTCATGACTAACTTTGCATCTTCAGTGCTAGCATCATTATTCCAGACAAATAGGTAACCTAAATGGCATTGCATGTACTTGTTTTTTTTCGAATAATCTTGTTAGGTACAACTTAAGTAAAAGCTTCTATAGGCCTCAAAGCTACCACTACTCGAGTGT